ATGTACGCACGAATGAACTGGAAATGGTTGCATTGAACGTACTCACGTACGTAGCAACTTCGCCTAGCCTGCGCTTCAGCTTTCCAAGTGCATGCAAGCGTTATAACTGTTACCGCGTGCCATTGTATTCAAATCGGATGATCCGTGAATTCATGGTCATTTTGATGAACTGAGTAATATCATGCACGCATGTTCCGTGTTGCCGTGTGGTTTGGAGAAACTTGATATGTACCTAAAACGGGATGTGTTATAGATGAACATTTAAGTGACGTCACGATGACGTCATCACGTGACATGTGACGTCACATTAAAAGTGCAAATTGTGAAGGCCAATGGGGTTGAAACTTTGGATGTACCCTAAAACAGGATGTGTTATAGATGAAACTTTAAGTGACGCCACGGTGACGTAATCATGTGACATGTGAGGTCACATTAAAAGTAGATATTTTGAAGGCATATATCGACAGGACAACATGTCCGATTGGGTTGAAAGTTAGTATGTACCTAGATCGGGATGTGTTATAAATGAAAATTGAAATGAGCTCATGATGACGTTATTTAGTGATATGTGACGGCCTATCAAAGGTGCATATTTTGAAGGCCAATATCTACAGAACTCTGTTTGTCCTGATCACTCTACCGCACATCATATCAGTCTTACATGACATATAACTATACAATAACAAAATTACCAAAATAGCCGTATGTTTGTACACAAACATAATTAAATTTAGTTACTCTTGTAACTCGAGGAATCAACCAAAGAACACAAAACATGCTATTCTGTGTTATCTTATCTTTTATTATCACATCTCTGAACAAAATTTGGAAAAAAGAAGAAGTACTCAATTTACAGGTGCTAAAACCAAGTCTGCTGTTAAGAAAAAAAAGCCAAAGCTAGGATAGCATACATGCTGCAGGGCATTGGTGATGTTGGTGGAATTTCTTACATTTCTTATTTTAAAAAAATGAATTCTTGTTTGAAGAACTATTTTCTTGTCTCACTGCCTAGAAAAAAATTTTAGGGAGTGACACAAGAACAATTTTCTTAAAATTTTTACATTTTAAAACTACCATTTTTAACAGTAGGGTGATTTATGAGTAGGCAGGCAGGCGATTATCTGCGATGAGTCTTTATGTGGGAGAGAAATCCAATGTACGAGGCACATTGTCTCCCACAGGTGCTATGGCAAAGACTCCCCAGAGGTTGTCCCTGTTTTCCTCTCTCTTTCTCTCCTCTCACTGGTGGCTGCTGCTCTCCTCTGTTCAAACATCTCTGTGCCCTTGGCACCGACTTACTGCCAGAGGAACCCGTCCTGAGCACAAGCTTCCCAGGAGCAAATGGCCTTCAGTCTGTCCTTGTACCTCTTGTATGGTCCACCTTGTGCGTGATGGCCTTCTTTATAAAGCTGACCATACAGAAGGATCTTGGGATTTCGGGTATCATCCATACGAACTACATAGCCTGACCAACAAAGCTGGCTCTTGATAAGCAAGCATTCAATGCTTGAAAGACCACACCGTTCAAGGACTTGCAAGTTTGAGACCCAGTCTTGCCACTTGACGTTGAGTAGCTGTAGTAGGCAACGTTGGTGAAACTGCTGAAGTTGCTTAATATGGTGCCTATATGTGGTCCGAGTTTCACAGCAGTAAAGCAGTGTGCTAAGTACAACAGCCTTGTACATGGCAATTTGGGGTTGAGCTTGATGCCATGGTCTTTTCAAAAGAAAAATAATAATCAGGAAATCTGGAGATAGGAATTGATATTCCTTTTTAAAGAGGCTAGAATGAGAATGGAGGGAAACAGCCACTAGGCAAGGCCTTCCAAAGAGATACAGAGCGTGGGAAAAAGCTATTATAGTAGCTCTTTGTTCTACATCTCGGCACAGCTAAAGTGTATGGGTGAGAGGAAGCAGAGAGCCTGGTTGTCACTCAAACACCCTGACATGAGGAAACAAGTCAAACAAACTGGTGGGACAATTTCCATTGAAATATCTGTAGAACAGACTGAAGATGGTTACTGACCTACGGTGAGAAAGGGTTGTAATGATGAGCCCAACTCTTCACCAACCACATAAACAATTCGCTTCTACATCCGATCTAATAGAGATAAATGGCAGGCAGAAGCTCTGGCCCATATGTGGGAACAGTATTCCATCAGGGGACGTATAGCAGGTCGAGTAGCTTGTTAATTTCTGGGTTATTTTCATCAAACCAGTCTCTGTGAATTCTCTCAACAAATCCAAGGGTGTCAGATGATATCGTATAGTAGTGCTGCAACTGATCCTCAAAGTTTGGTTCAGTTCGGTTCGGTTGCAGTTCGATTTTTTTTCTCCAAACTTCGGTTCGGTTCGGCTTCGGAAGTGTATACATAATGTACATCATACAATGTATTAGGTTAATACAATAAAAAGCATATACATACCGGTAGGCCGTTCCCCTGTTCGAACAAACACGTGTGTACCGCGCACGTCTGACAGAAATAGGCCCCGCAATTTCCACATGCTATTCAACACAAGTTGAAGGATGAATCTTATTTTTATTGCGTTAACAATATTCCGTTATAATTTGACTTGATGACGTTGAGAAATGAACATCGTAAATTGCTAGAGGGTTACCTATCGCAGCCCTATCCGGCCCGGCAACTATGATAAAATTGGCGATCGTGTAGTGTAGGGCCCGACTCCTAACTTAAGGGAACAAAATCTACTTTAAAATTATGAGACAGATGAAAGAAGTTGGTTCTCAATAAACAGGTATGTCATAGATGGAGGGCATGATTTTTTTTAGGGAAATTTGGGGGTAAAATGACAATAACAGCGCGGCGACACAACACGCAACCCGAAAATAAAGATGGCATTCACCGCGCGAGGTACCATGAGTGAGCAAGTACGGTGCGCTGAATCGCAAGGTGCAAACTGCGCACGACAATCATGATTTCTACCTCAAGAAACTGTTCAAAATTGCAAAACGGGTGTCATTAGAATTGAGAAGTCTGCTTTTGATTATAAAGGTGATTTATTTAGCAATTTGACTCTAATTTGATCAAAACAAAACAGAGGCCCTACGCTACACGATCGCCATAAAATTTTCCCACACGTGCCGACGGGTTTTCCCGAAGAGTTCCGTCCCGTCTGAGCATGCCCTGATGAGCACTAAAAACTTGTCTCGTGGCAATAATTGCCGAATAGTTTTGTTTTAACAAACAGGTCCTTTTACTGTGCCAAACTCATGAAATCATGATTATTATAACAACAAGCTTGCAAATAGTAGCTACAGTAAAAAAAATAATAACTTTTCGATTCGCGATCCATGAATATTCATATTGTGGACGGATCCATTAATTTTGTAAAGGGGTGTTTCACCCTCTTTTGGGAGATTACATCGTTTTTCGTATTCATTATATTACGAAAAAAAAATATATTGCGAAAATTAAGAACTTATTCTGAACATGGGAAAGGTTTCAGACTCCATAAAAAGTTGGGTTTTTTTAATTCTGATACGGTGAAAAAATTGAAAATGCTGGCAGGTGCAGCATGACTAGTCATATAGTATGGCTAGTCATATGGGGGTACTATTGCGAAAACTCTAATAGAAAGGAACCTGCCAGTAAAGGGAATATGCAATTTGGACATTTGGGTTCGGTTTGGTTCGGGTTCGGTTCAGGTTCAGTTCGGAAGGCCAAGTTCGGCTATTTTTAGTTCGGTTCGGCGGTTCGGCGGTTCGGCTGCAGCACTATCGTATAGCAAATCTCTGAAGATCGACCATTCTTCCTCCACATTTTCACCAGTGGGTTCTGTGTATTGAAGGGTCTCTCAGATTTTTGCCTGTATTATGTTCTTGGCGACACAGAGGTGGGCAATGTTGAATTTCTTGACTGGTTTCTGCCTCGCTGTATGAGGCTTAGGAGCAAGCTGAATGTTCATCTAGCTTCGCACTAGTCGGTGATCGGGCAAACACTCAGCTCCTGTCATGCTGCTGGGATGTTCACATTGCGTCTGTCTCCTTGGCGAACGATCACACCATGGCATATTCCAACATGTGCCATCCACGTGGTCTTGTATTTGTTTGCATGTGGAAAGAGAGTGATGGACAATTCATGCTGAACACAGAGAAACAGCAGAAGCAGACCGTTGGAGTTGCACTTGCCAGTGCCATGGTGTCCAAGTACTCTCGACCATGGGGCATAGTCCACTCCCACACGGGAATTGAAATCACCAAGGATGATGAGTTTGTCTTTTCGGTTGACTTCACAAATGATATGAAAAAGCTCATCATAAAACGCTTCCTTAACATCATCAGGATTAGTCACTGTAAAGAAATACCGTAGCAGCTGAACATTGTGGCAAACAAGTCCTTATCGAGCTTAAGACACAAGGTCGTCAATCTGTCATTTATCCCATGAGGAAGGCTATCAGGGCATTTCACAAGGTTTGTGCGAATGGCAAACCCTACGCCACAGGTTCTTGGAAGGGCAGTGGAAGATGTAGCCTCCCTGAACTTCTTCTAGCTGTGTTTCACCAGCGAACCTCATTTCGCTCAGAGCTGCAATGTTTATTTGAAAGCGATCAAGCATCCTGGCGATGAGTGCTGTCTGGTGTTCTGGTCTATCGTCTCTGTCCAGCAAAGTACGGACATTCCAATTCCAGAGGTCAATAGGTGAGAATTGCATTTCTAATGGTTCTTGCAACCGCTCAGTTGGATGACCAGGCAGGCGCGGCCACCTGCCAGGCGCAGCATGACTAGTCATATCGTATGGCTAGTCATATGGGGGTACTATTGTGAAAACTTAGTGAAGGGAACCTGCCAGTAAAGGGAATATGCAATTGTAGTGAAGTAGACTTAGCCGATATATTTAAGCAACTATGGGCAAAGTTGCAGAACATTCAGAAAAGAAAGGGGAAAAAACCTCTAAAACAAAAGCTGGAAATGTCTAAAAAGCTTACAATCTCTCAGGGGTAGAAGCAATGTTATTGTATTTTAGGATTTTGTTTACTTACCATGAGCCAAAATAAGTCCAACAGCACTTGACTGACTGAGTGGGCTTGATGGCGCATTCACCCCTTTAATCTGGCTGTAACGATTATGGATCTGCAAGCTACACGACTAATATCAGAATAAGCAAAAACAGAGGAAATCAGTTGCAGAATCTACTGACTAGAGCTCTAGTGGATTGTTTACAAAACTATGACATTACTTTTCACTCAATTGTTTAATGAAAAATAAAAATAACAAAAAGCTGTAAATGTCCCTCAACTTGCTGGGAAGGGTTTTAGAGGTCTTTATCCATTTCCTTTCAAACATAATGATTTTGATCTTTTGGACAGGAATTAACTCGCAGTCCATGCATCCCAAACTGATAATTGTTACAGCAGAGTATAGCTAAATTTTAATTCCCTATCCGACCTATAACTCTGTGCCATGATTGTTATTGTTAGTAACTGGTACCTAAAGTCGCATGTGCATTGGCTATTAAATGTTGTCATTTGGCCCTTGTGTAATAGTGGAATTTAGTGAGTTGTTTGAGTGAACTTGTAGTATGAGATAATGCAGTATCTTGCAACGGGGTATTTAAGTATGGTAATGAGCTTGTGTAAGCAAATCACTAGAGACTGATGTAAAAGTGATGTGCATGTTGATGCAGCCATCTTGGCAGTTTATTTCATCAAATAAGCCATCTCTACAGTTAATGCAGTTCTGTGAGGCTTTTGGAGTGTGGCTCAGACAAGAACCAGTTGTGTAATCAAGGGGAGGGGAGGTGGGTGCAGACTGGCAGAGTGCAAAAGGCTAGAGATTTTAAACGTAAAATTGGGGTGCTGATAGCAAAATTGGAACTGCGAAAATGGATTAAAAATGTGAAATCGGAAATGGGATGCACGATTGTCGCTGGACGGGAAGTGTGACATCCCCCTTAATGGTTTTTTTTTTTTTTTTTTTGCTGTCGGCAAAATGGTGAGTCCATCTGCAAATGTGCCCGGATGCCTATAGGCCGATAGCACCCATGATCATCTACTTCAAACAGTATCCCCTAGAGGAAGATGGTGTCCAGTCCAGTCCAATCCCCAGGCCCCCCCCCCCCACACACACACACACAATACTTTAATTATGTGCCTGACAAGAACATGTTAGTGCGACACTGGCAATTTATACAATCAATGTTCATTGCATGCTGAATCATTATTGTATCTTGAGAATACAATATCTCACAATTTGGGTGTACCATTTCTCACATTTTGAATGTATCATAAATATTTTATATATAAGTGACCACTTGATGTGTTAATTGTATAAATGATCTGTGTTTACAAGTTCATTCTTTTTCAGTTTGTATGACAATAAGTTGTTTTTAGATGTGAAGACAGTTAGTTAATTGTGTTTGATTGCGAGATTCGATCCAGATTTCCTTAGAATGTGGTCAAATTGGCAATTGCATTTTTAAGTGACTTTAAAGTTGGATTTGGATTGTCTCTTGACACTTGATATTGTGTTGGAGTTGGAATTATGTACATTGTATGACATTTAATAGTACCCAAATGGTGGAATTGTGACCAGAATTTGAATGACGGAAGAATTTACTTCCTTGCTCGCAACTAATGTTGCTTTTAGTATTGTACTCAAAACCTGACTGAATAAGTTCCTGCATGTTAAATACAATTGGAATTCTAGTGATTCCTCAGGTGCAATTGGCACCCTTGGCTATACTTCAGGTGTCATTAACACCCAAGGGCATAGAAAGTGGTATGGATTACATCTACATGAGTACGTCTGTGGATGTACCATGTGAGGAGAAATCTCTTTCCTCTCCTCAAAACAGGCACAGCATACAGTCTGAAACAATGTGCTTTCACAAGTTCGTTCTTTTCAGTACCACACAAACATACCAAACATGTTTCTTGTCACATAGTGCAACAACAAACTTACTCTTAATGCTGATTTCACAAGATGCAAACCTTCAAATCCTTGTGTTACAATTATGGGGAAGTGCCAAATTGCCACTGTTTTCCAGTTTGTCCTATCTGATGCACTTCAAGTGTGTATGTCGAAAATGCATTCATATTGTCCATGCAACATCAATGTAACATGCATACATGTACTCACTGTTGCTGAGTTTTTACACTTGGAGCCTTTAGGAGCCTTCACAGGATGCCAGATGCCACCACGATCAAATGTAATATTTGTATGAATGGATAGATCATCACCAACCTGGCTTGCCATGTACACACCACGCATAGATGCTACACGGTAAAAATCAGTTGTGGCAGAACCCTCAGCAAACTAAAACAAAGTAGCAACAGAAGATATAAAATATTTTTAAATTTTTTTTACGAGACAACAAGGGTAACGACCAATAATGAGTTATTTCAACCAGATGCAGATAAACTTAAGCACAGTTTAAAGGCTAGTCACAACATATCGTGTCAGATAACATGACCACTTTTTGAATGCACCGCAGTGGTGAGTTTCTCTGAGTTGTGAGTTTTCTGTCTGTACAAAGGACAAGCCAAAATGATCAGGGCGATTGTTATATTTAATATGTTTCATATGTGAGTTCATTTTTGGAAGATTTAAGAAACAGGTGCATTTTCATAGAAACTGTAATAGGTGTGGGCTTGGTTGCATCAGCTGAGGAAAATATCTGTTCATTTGCAGACTAAATGCAGTTACACCAGCTGCTGTGTGTCATTATCCAGTACACTAGACTCATACACCAGTCGGTTTGTAGGAAATCAAACTAGTAATTACAAATAGAAACAGAGATGAAAGATGTTCCTCGATTTTAGATTGTCACAATTCAACTTTACAATATTCTGTAACAGACAATCTCTGTAAAAATTTATTTGAGAGTGTATGCCTTACCAAGTGTTTCTTGAGAGATACAGAGAACACAATTCCATCAGCATCAGATGTATACAGAGTTCCAGAACCTGTGTCTGAGTAAGGAAGAATAAACATAAAATGCGGACATAAGAAGCTAGGAATAAGGTTTGCGAATGACACCACATGAATAATGATCATGTTTGTTTGCAAGGGTGCTGTGATATAAACCACTCTCACAACCAGGTCTTTTAGAACCAACATTTGTCAGAACCAAAATGAGAGCATCAAGCTGATCCTAATGCATACATGTTTAGAATAATGACTGCAGACAATTTCGGCATAGAAAACTGTTGATCATCCGCTCTGACAAGCCTTGCGGGGTCCCCTACATTCCCTGCTTCATATTTTCTTAACTCAATGAAATTTAGTTTACTTAATACTTTGTCATGTTTATGTAATACATACTATAAACATTGTATTTGTACTTTTTGCCTGAGATGGAAATAAAGTCAAGGAATTAATTTTAATCTTCTTTAACCCCAACCACACTGAATCCATCAAAATCCATATCCCTGTTTTGGAGTATTTCGGCGGATTCAGGATACCAATACCTTCATATTGAAAGCAGGGGGATTTTATGGACTGAGGATTGCAAGCCTAGCGGTAGGGCATTCTGCAAGATTTTGATGGATTCAGGATACCTCCATACTGAGCAGTCACCTACACCAACATTTTTGTGCATGACACAATAGGTGGATTTTGGCGGATTCACGATACTTTCTTGTAAAGATACCCAAGGGGTTAGGGTTAATGAAGCCAATACTTCATGGAATAAACAAGCAAAAAAAATACTTTAACAAAGTTGATTTTCAAAGTCAAATAACCAATTTTCAATGTTAAAAATTCCCATTTAAATTAAAAATAACCTCAAGGGGACTGTACATGTAAGTGACTGCAGGAGTTTAAACTTTGGTTTATATTCACAAATACGCCAGTACAGGAACTTGAAAACCCTGATTCGATTGTTGAAACAGTTTGATTATAAAACTGTGATCATGGATTGTGGTGTATTTCTCAATGGGATGCTATTGTGGTCATTTTAACTATAGTTTTAAAGTTTTAAAGCGTTCTAGACTCAAGCCAAAGCAACATATATTTAGAGCAGCTCAAGTCCATCCAAATAGCATTTCGGTTCAGACAGTCAAACTTTATGAACTAACTTTCAATTGACAGCATTATTGAGTCATTTTTTTAAAATAAAATATGCAACAATTGATTTTTGGCATGTAGTTGCGATTACTTGTGTCAAGTATCGAGCTTAAGTTTGCAGAGATGCAAGTGGCTTTTGGGAGAAAATCTGAAAATAGGCAAGAGGTCGCCAACAGAAATCTGGCTATGAAAGGACAAACATACAAACGGCATGGAGCACACTTGTGGTCGGTGATTGTTATATGTGAAGATCTACATCTACAATTTATTCTGAAACCTTGTAATATTTGATGCTTTAAACTACATGGTATTACAAAATGATGAACTGATACTACAGCAAACACAATGCCTACAAATAATTTTGTTCCTTTTTTTTTCACCAAATTTGTGAGGAAATGTTCAATTTTAACAGTATAAAGTTAATGGGGTGTAACAGGAGTTGTGCTGTACAGTCATTATAAAGCACAGAAGTATCAAAAGACCCTACCTCCTTCATCATCAACATGCATGAATAGCATCCCTTCATTCATGTCCAACACAGAAAAGAACTGAAAGAAAGACAAGACCAGTATTGTTAAACAATTGATAAATTACAATGTACATGTAAAAGAAAAGACAGTCTGCTTTTAAAAGGTTATTTCTGTAAAACTGTTCCATTTAGACTTACTACATGTATATTATGATATCAGATCAGGAAATGTAAATGTTCATGTAACATATTTCATTTCCATGGTTTTCACTTCAAACCGTCCTGATAATTGGCTTCAGACCCAAGAAAAATACACTTTTTTAAGCCCCGATGCCAACTGAAACCCCTCTCTGAACCAAAATTATAAGTAAATTAACTAAATAAATAAATAAAGTACACTTTTTGTAAAATAAATTAGTAATAATCTATTCATTTCTGAAGTGCAGATTCTACAAAATATGTTCAAATGAGCTTTACATATTCTTAAATTTCTTAAAAACACTAACAAATCAAAAATTACTTCAACTAATACAAACTTCTATCAAAATGCAAATAAAGAAAATACAGTCCAAAAGTTTTATTAAAATTGGACTATGTCAATGATTTTTGTAAAATCATATTTTGATTATGTTACAAGATGTCACATATTTTCAAGTCCTTTGCATCAGTGTTTAATCTTGGTAAATTGTTACAAAAGAATTTAGCATGTTTTGTTTGCCACATATACTGAATAAAAGAATTATAGCTCTCTCTTATCACCTACAGTTATCCATTAAACAATTAACTATCCATTCAAACAATTATAGCCATGTTAGGCCAAGTAGGAAGTTTATTGGCCCTACCATGGCTTATATTAATAACAACTGGGCGTGGGAGAGGGGGAAGGGGAAGGGTGGTGGTGACAGAAACACGCTACCAACGTTGGGGTGTATCTCGTTCCCTTTGTAGACAGAAGTGTGCACACATCGCGTGCAAACAAACCCAATATTCACTGTACAAACCACCTCGCATTGTACACGATTGTACGTATGTACGCACACAATACACATATAGCGTTGAGCTGACAGCGGGATGATCGATCAACAGTTGACCACATACAGTGTGACCATACAGAGATAAACCCATCCAGTTAATAGTTACAAACAATGTTACGGCACACTGGTTGAGTCAGGCACCTAACTGTGCTACAGCGAAAAAAACATTTTGACTTTCGTCATGTTCATAAATTTGACCAAAAAAGGTCATGTTGAATTGACGGATTTCCTTTAAACGACTATGGAGTAAAGATGCGACCTACCTGTATGTTGATCATTTCAAGGAATAAAAACAAAATGTTGAAGAAGCGTTTTCACAAAATAGATTGTTTTTATGCAGGAAGTATGAGATTTTGTCACAATGCATGTATTTTGACGAAATCCTTGAAACTTGGCAAACACAGGTCTACTGCTATTCATGGTTTAACGGTTAGTTTATTGTACAAGTTACTTTCGGTAACCTAAATTGCTGAAAAATGGGGGGGGGGGGGAATCTGAAACACAGTTAATTTATTTTCTTTTTTTTCCCCCGGCGACGGATATGGAACATTGATCCAGTTTGTTTCCCCGGCGACGGATATGGAACATTGATCCGAATAATGTCAAAAAAACAACAACCCAATAACACTTTTTTCAGTCCATTCTAATATCTTATCTCTCATCTGTGAAAGTTTAAATTCAATACCTAGGCAGAATTAATGGAGTTACTAAGTAAGAAAGAGCGAAGAATAATTAACTTCTGGGTTTCCACACACGCGGGCGATGGCCACTCTTTTTACCGAGAAGAATCCTCATGTTTGCTACAGCCGTGCCGAGCTAGCTACAATCCTGGCAAAATCTCGCTGGGCCCCCAACCCCCCAGCCCCCGCTCAATGTTGTCTCTCATTGCGCGGTGTGTGCTCCATCCGCTGGAGAGAACAACATTGACCGGGGGAGCGGGGGAGTTGGTGACCGTTGGAGGCTAAGGTTATTTCCAAGTGTCCCAAGCATTTTGGCCGGGATTGTCTGAATGTACAATAGCCTTGATATTGGATTTGGATATTGCGCGTAGTATGCGCTCAAATAATAATACACACACGCGCGCGCTGGTAACATGGTCAATGCACACGATTCACCATGACGGTGCACCATGTCATTTTGGCCGATATTTTTACAAAATACAGATTGTGTTCAACGTGAAAGCCGTATTGGATACACAAACAATGTATCGTCTTCTTCAATTTGATTTTAATCCCTCATTTGGACGAAAAATCCATCCAAACCATAGTGTAACCACGGTTCACCACTGTAAATTATATAATAAGCAGTCACTCAATTCCTTTATATTTTGGTTTGGATGGATCACCGATGGATTTTTCGGCAAATTAACGGAATGAGTGAATACAAACAAATTGACAAGGATTGTATATTGTCTGTGTATAATAATGAGCCTTTCAAGTTAAACACAAACTGTATTTTGTACAGTTGTTGGCCAAAATGGCATGTTAAACCGTCATGGCGAACCGTTACGATGCACGCAACAATAAAGTTGTGATTTTAAATCATTGGAACATTTGTATTTTTAAATTTCCATTTTTGTTTTACTATCAATCATTATTATCAGGCCTAAATATGTGTTCTTTCATTCAACCTTCGGCCGCCATTTCATATTTTGGAAACAAAACTCAAGAAAACAGCTCCCCAAACGGCATGTCATGCATATTTTGAAAAATGAAAAAAATAAGACAATCTTGGCCAAATCTCGCTGGGCCCCCAACCCCCCAGCCCCCGCTCAATGTTGTCTCTCATTGTGCGGTGTGTGCTCCATCCGCTGGAGAGAACAACATTGACCGGGGAGCGGGGGAGTTGGTGACCGTTGGAGGCTAAGGTTATTTCCAAGTGTCCCAACCATTTTGGCCGGGATTGTAGCTAGCTAGAAGGTCGTACCATTGTGAAAATACAGGGTATGAAAAGGGGTGGGTTAATATTTTGAGGGGTCAAACGAAAAGAAAAAAAAAACGGCCAAGAGTTACCAAAATGGCGACAAAAAGAATATTACATTTTGAAAAGTGATGTTTAAACTTCAAATTTATCTTTGATTTAGGGTGATTTTTGAAAGAAAGCCATGCGAACATCCCTTTTAAAAATGATGTGTTTCGAACAGCGTCATCAAATTCTGCCATCCGGGAACTTTTTACACCAATTTGTGGTCAAGTTCCCAGTATACATTCGCGTTTGCTGAATACGCGATGTAATCGGGAGCCGACTATTAGTACAGCACTGCACAAAATGTGTGTTCGCTCATACCCCCCGCCCTGCAAACAGGGCGCTGGGATACTCTGATGAGCTTCACAGAATCTTGTGAAGGAAATGGCCTATGACCTATGTATAAAGCATCTGGCTGCAGCTGTTCAAAACCGCAGTTAGACAATATGTGCAAATGCTATCCGAAAACTTCCCATAGAAATGCACACGTTCCATATCAGATGTGATTTCTGTTTCATTGCGGACCATGTGGACAAATTTTGAGCGTCGCATAATGCAATCCGACCGTTCGTGATTCGAAACGGAGCCTGAGCAAGTGAAGGGAATCGTAAATTTAAAACACAGATAAGTTTTACAGACTTTCCTACATTATTACGCTTTTCAAAAAATAAAATAACATCTCTAAACTGGAATAAAAGAGTAATGAATCAGTCTTAAAGGCCGTTTCAAACCTTGCAGAGTCATGACCTTGATGACGCTCAGATCACTGGTCACGCAAAATCCAACCAATCAGAGCATGAATTCATCAGAGTATCCCAGCGTCCTGTTGGCAGGGCGGGGGGTACGAGCGAAAAAATGTGTGTTGATGCAGTCACGATGTTTGTCATCGGTGGCAAAGTCAAAGAGCCGAAAAATCATCAGGTTAGAAGAGGGTTTCATAACTTTTCTAACAAAATGCCTAGCACTTCATTTGAAGTGCTTATTATTTTTGGTACTCATGATAGTTTACAAAGGATCTTTCCATGATTATTGTAGAATGTTGAACTGCAAATGCAATCAAAACATTTTGACAGCTGGGCGCCGTGACACTAGCTTGGCAGATATACTTGCTGTAGGCCTAATTCCCAATGGCATGGCCATTGACTTTTATAGATTCTCTGAGTCAATATATCAGACACGTCTTTCAAATCACTTTAACACTAATTTTTCAAATATAAATTATTTCATTAGGGGATTTATGTTTTGTTCAGATTTTATTCTGGTATTGTTTTGTTTGCTGTCACTGTCAGTGTTATTTCTTTTTTCCCATGACAATCATGACAATCATGACAATGTAAATAATACTTTTTATAGGCCTTCCCTAGCATGCCTAGAAATAATAATTGTGAATATTATTTTAACGTCAAGTTTCCATGGTAACGGTTTGAATTCAGCAAATGTTGACTTTTTTGGGGGGGGAATTGGATTTTCACTAATTCCCTAAATCGGATATTCACTATTTTCCAAATTTGTTTTCCTAAATCTACTGGTGCAATACCCTTATATAACAGGGCAATTGGTCATCTGAAAAAAAAACCCACATTTTTCAAATTGTCTTCAAACAAAATCTGATATACAGGGCGTCCTGAAAAATGGTGCATGTAAACCCCTCCATTTTTGCTAATTTACAACCAAAATTTTCTGAGGATGTTTACAAAATCTTCAAGGTAATAGATTTAGCTTGAGAATACCGTTTGTTTCATTGGGATTGCTTTTGTAAATCCAGAGATATGTTTGAATAACGGCAAAGCCAAGAAACCCATTTTGTGCCACTTTCTGTGAAGCAGTTAAAATCAGTATAGCCCTAGTCTAAAACCAAATCACTTTACTCTTAGTGATTTTAAAATTTTTAAGCAGAGTGTGCAATATTTATTTATATTTAATTGAACTCTTTCATTGAAGTTTTAAAGAAGTGAACCTGTCTGTACAATTAAATTGTTTCAACATATAAAACAAAACATGTACATGTCATCTGGGGCTAATTTTTTATTTTTTTTCCTGCCTGACAACCCTTCTCAGCACCTTAGAAATCCGTAAAACAATAAAATTGGAATGGCCTAAAACGCTAAAGAGATCCCATGCTGGTAATAGCCTACACATGGGGGGGGGGGGGCACGAAACAAACATCCCCCGGGGAGTTGGCTGATAGTTTGATTGTCTGACACTGAGGAACCATCCGAAAAGCCTCCATGAATAGCTGCTATAGCAGAATGATAATTCTTAACGGTGACCGTAGTAAGGTTACTTTCAAAGAAGTATACCAGAAAGTCTGAAATCTCCCCTACAGAAGTATCTGAGGGATGCAGAGATCTGCTTTTACACCATCTGTAAAAATGGCGTAGTCTACTGTCACAAATTGTCCTGGTAGATGCTTGTTGGCTGCAGGCTACAATGGCTGCAGCTCATTCAGAAAGGCCTGCTGTGCGGAGGGGCTGCATGATAGTACCCAGCACGTCAGGTGAAGATCCCCTGGAGCCAGGTGAAGAAAACCCGAGCTGGGCTGGAACAGCATGTCCGTTCTCTGCAGAAGAATGACTGGTCGGTGAACCAAGAGTTTGATGAGTCTTGGGAACCATGGCCGGCGAGGCCAAAAGGGGGCGATAAGGAGAACCTTGCAGACCTCTTGCTCCAACTTGGTCAGTACCCGAGGTATGAGGGAGAATCGAATCGGGCCGTTGTTGTCTCTGGTCCTCCCAACCTGTATGGCCCACGGGCGACGCATGTAAAGCGCTCGCTGTAGGCCGGGCTTCCGGTGTACAATCAACCACGTGTGGTATCTCGTTGTGCTTGGGCCACCCAACCGTGACCAATGAACGACGATTGTGAAGAATTCACCGCAGGTAGGGACTCCAGAGCACAGCTAACTGTGTGCAGTATGTCCCTTGTTCACAGGCCACCCAGCCGTGACCGGTGACTGAAGACTGTGAAGACTGAACAACGGGGGTCCAAAGGAACAACGGAACAAATCTGATGACAAGAATGGTCCCTCATAGCCAGATAGAACTTGATCCGTCCCATGGGAGAGGAATTCCCCCCGGCTTGTGACAGACCAGTCCTCTCCAAACGCTTCATAACTATGAACTAATCAATCAATAAAACGAAAATATACTCTACAATACACTTTTTTAATCAATTACTTCTCTTAAAAGCGCAGGGTATAAAAAAGCGATATAAAAAACCCTGATTTTTATATGTCATACCCGACTGCCGCTAAGAGAAAATGATGGGGGGTATTATGGGTAGGGCACCTGAGGGCGCTATTGTATTAAACTCTTAGCGTAAAATACCTGCCGGTATAGGGAATATGCATAAGTAGATTGCTCTACAGGTAAGTTGAGTGAAGTAGACCCTTACATTAACAACACAAGTTTACTTTGTACTTTTAACAAGATGATAACTGCTGTGGATCGTTCACTTATCCACAGCACCAATTCCAAGAGCCAAAAGAGGGAGAGTGGCTCGGAACAATACACAATACAAGTAATAGAGGACATGAGCCACCTGTAATTCATGCCTGATTTCAATGGTCATCAATACATTAATTTGAAATGCAACAAAAGAATATCCATAACATGCAACACTACATATCCTACAACACTGACCCCAGGTGATAGTTGCTCATTTGTTTGTATTGACCCTAATACTCAAAATGGACAAAATTGACAAAATGGACAATCACGCCTTCCTTAAACCATCAAGGCTACTACCGGTATTTAATGCAGTTTGACAAGAGACCCTCCCCACCCCCGATTCTGAGATTCACAGTTCCTGGCTCACTGATTTCTCTTGCTTAAGTGCAAGTAACCCCTAAATAGGAGACCAGGTCGGAGGAAGGTCATTGATTGCATCAATCGAAAACACAACCAAAACAGAGAGATTTGAGGCATCGGCATTGCATTACGCATGTTCAGTATGTTTTATACAATGTATCCATTGTGAACCAAAGTACATACAGGCTACACATCAAAGCCACTGCCAAGCACTTAAGTCACTTAGCCAATGTAAAGATTTCCTGTGTGATTGCATTTTGAGCTTCACAAAAGACTTTACCCTCGAGAGTGTAAACTGTAAAACTAACTTTCAATATACAAAATACATGTATATCACTACGCATGTAGCAGACAGTGATGTTCAACCATGAGGTGCCAGCATTGACTCCGTCACACACTTGTAACATGGTCTGCTGACAAACCATATAGAGTGCGGTCCACTATAGTTGGCTCAATCTTCAAGTAATCTTTGACATAGTAAAATAATCCTTGACAGTTAGAAACTATTTTCAAGTCCATTTACAAACAATGTAGTAACCAAATGAGACATGCTTCTGTGAAACTTGGAAAAAGTTAATAAATTTTGTTTTCTTATAATTTTGGCATTTTTAATTTTTATGGAAGTAGGTCTCAAATGAGATTTCTTTACTCCGTTCAATTGTCAGATGAATTGAAATCTGGTAATTTTTTTTTATTTTGAAGTTACAACCTTTTAATTTGATTGATCAATGAAGTTACACGACAGTGCCCAGATATTCATTTCAAATTCCCTGCAGAAACTCACCTGACTTTATCAGAGGCTAAATAAAAATAGCGTCAGTAAACTATCCATAGTAATTCTGTTTCTTTCCTTACCCGGTCACTGGTGACAACTGGAAGCTGTGTAGGGCTCCACGTCTTACCATCATCTTTAGACACATAAAGTATTCGTCCATTATCCCCCTGTCACAAATATGAAAGAAATCACCCTTCAAAACATTATTTGGTTAAAGAAAAAAACACTGTGCAAATGCTCTTTGTAATTCCTCGTACATTTGTTCATAAATTATAGCTTTGTGGAGCGCTGTGGTCCACTGGTCACAGTGTTTTCGACTCAAGTGCCGTGGTACATGGGTTTGAACCCCGATGGGGAAAATGGTGCTTGTGTTCTTGGGTAAAACAGTCTCCAGCCAGGAGTACAAATGGGTTCACATGGGTAGATACCAAATGTGCTGGGGCGGATTGCAATAACGCAGTCTTAGTCGGCTGGCTAAACCAGTCCAATTTTAGCCAGCTATTGTTCTTAGACGGTCTTGGTTAAGACACCAAACTTAGCCCATTGCAATAAGCTGGTCTTTACTAAGCCCGCTTAGAGTAATGATTCACAAACAAACATTCCATGGTTACGGGCAAATACTGGAGGGACTGCACATTTTATTTTTTAAGGTTTGTGTGATTCATATCATGCGATATCAAATGTCAATTCCGAAATTTTATGTTGAGAAAATTGTATTTGCAGTACAACTCAGTGTCATTACATTTTTCCAGAAGATCCCTTCTATCCCAGAGAATTTTCCCTCCGAGCAGTGTTCTGCTTTTTAAAGATTTAATCATCAAACACTCATCAACTGGGAAAAAATATTTTGGGAAAGAATAATTCAACACAACAGTGAATTCCAAAAATCCCAACTATAGACCGTTTTAGCCCAACCCAGGCTAACTATTTTAAGACTGTTTTACTACTTAAACTGTGTCATTGCAATGGTCTTACTTATAGACTGACTGACAGCCAGAGCTTTTAGACTGTCTAATGCGCATAGACAGCTTTAAGACCGGTTATTGCAATCCACCCATGATCTCAAGCTCCAGTGCAATCTGGTCTCATGGCCCGATGCACAGGGGTAATGATTATGAAGCGCTTCGAGACCTTTGGTATAAAGCGCTATAGGCCTACAGGGAGTGTTACAACTGATAATGTAGTAACCAACGGATAATGTATCACCAACTGATAATGTCACACAAATTGACCGATACTGTATACCGATAATGTAACAGAAATTGACCGATAGTGTAGTAAATGTTACCAAACCATCGGTCAATATTTGTTACATTATCGGTTAAGACCGATAGTGTAGTAAATGTTACCAAACTATCGGTCAATATTTGTTACATTATCGGTTAAGACCGATAATGTAACAACAATCGACTAATAGTGTAGTACATTTTTACCACACTATCGGTCAATTTCTGTTACATTATCGGTTAGTGATACAGTATCGGTCAATTTGTGTGACATTATCGGTTGGTGATACATTATCCGTTGGTTACTACATTATCAGTTGTAACAGGGTGCGTCAAAAAGAAAGTGACTGAATTAGAAAAAAAACATTTTTAAAAATATGTGGCTTGCTCTATTCCATAAATAAACATAGGGATAAAGTACATCTTATTGACTAGTAACTGTGAACATTTTACTTAATTTGCACGTATACTCTATTCCCAAGATATTGACTATTTTGATAAAAAGATCACAAAATTCAGCTCTCCACCACTGATCATACAATGAAACAGAAATGTGTTCCCACCTCCATGAATGAACGAAAACTTGCAAAGGAAACAGACAAAAATCCCAATCAATATTTTAGAAAAAATACTGCAAGTGAAACCTGTGCAATCACTCTGGCATGCTGGCAGTTCTTATACAGTTAGTTGGTACGGACACTTGTCAGTGCACCTAACCAAAATAGAGGAGAGGAGAGACTGACGATGACTAGAGCAGGCTAGTCGAAACGTTGAGACCAAAGACAATTTCGGTTAGAACTTACACCAGGACTGTTCTTATCAGAACCAAAAAACTACTTAGCAAAGTTGATAATAAGCAGGACAAGTTCTTTTCAGAACTAAATATCTTCTAAGCAGAAGTTATTACCACATGGTGTTACCGCGAATTGTGTACTAGTGGAATAAAAACCGCAGCGCTGGTGCCAATTAAAACTGAATAGGTTCGTTGATACAAGTTGTTTTCCTAAATGCGCATGGAAATAGACAGATAACAATAGATTTGCACTTGCCAGACCGCAAAAAGTGCTTGTCTGAACCGTCGTCTCATATCACCCAAGCTCGTACTATGCAATTTTTCCCTCATAGTAATATGCACACTTCGGTCGGGACTGACGAAATATGCTCATCTTAACCGAAATCTTGTCTAACCCGTGCTCGTATTAACGAGATTTGACTGTATATACAAACATGTACACGTTTGTATGGTCTAGGCCTGTGAAAATGCTGATTTTTTCCAGCTTCTTTGAGAACCGCTGATCCAAACAACTTCAAAAAAAATGGGGGGGGGCCAATTTTTTGTGTGTACAATCATATTGAGGTGTCTGCGCGTAGTCAAGGGTAAAGGAAGAAATTGATAATTTTCTGGGTTTTTTTCCTCATTCCCCCCCCTAAAAAAAAACAAAATTAGGATATGGGCTGTGAAAATAGGGTAGGTAGGGTAACCGGAAGCAGAACTATTATTTTTTTGGCCTGAGCAATACACCTGCCTATTTTCAACTTAATACAGTGCCCGGTTCTGGACATAAGCAAAATACAGACAGACAAAGCGACACACAGAGATTCCAGGAATTATGGAAGATGGCATTCCATGGACAGGTATAAAAATAGCTCCTTGTTATAAAACATGCATAACTTCTGACAGCATGGATACATTTCAGTAATTTTCAGATAAGTGGAAGATCATGCTCTTTTAAGACATATTTCATTAAACACATTCATATATTTGGACGGTTGAGTTATGCATGCACAGCAAACTGCAAAGCAACCAAAGTGTTTTTATAGTTCAAATTATATGCTGTGGCCTCGTAGTTAAGGGCACTGATTCGTGGTCTGCGGGTAAAGCTGCAGGTTGTGGGTTCAAGTCCAGCCTGGGGTTATGGTGCATGTGCCCCTTGGGCAAGGCACTTTGTCACTCATTGCTTCTCTCCACCCAGGAGTAAATGGGTACCTATGAGGGCAGTGAAGGTTATTGTGATTGAATTAGCTTCCTTGCACCTATATTTTAAGCGATTATGTTATCAACATAAAATATTCTTGGTTTATGGCTTAAGTTCAATGGACCTTTCACAGAAAAATATGCATCTCATCAGCGCAACAAACAATGGGCAGCTACTTGCCCTTTTAACTGCCACTTCTTTTAAACCAGCTCAAATAGATTCATGTTATGAAACTGCATGCTCAAGGCAGTTGTCTGGCTGTGCTGGTCGCTTTCTTTGTCCACTGCATACCTCAGGGAGTTGGTTGGGTCATGGGCATCAATCCTGGGGGGGGGGGGGGACAGGGGGACATGTCCCCCCCCCCCCCCCCCACTTTTTGAAGGGTGGGGGACACAATATCAAATGTTCCCCCCCCCCAGATTTTTTAACTCGTGCCTCATTTACAGGGCCCTATTACGTACTACAATGTATCTTTTGCTAAGAAAATATTGGTTGAAGTGGTCAGAAATTGCCTCAGATCGCACCATAGAGCATTTAAAATCCAAAATTTTTCGAAACCCTCAGACCTCAGAAAATGATTTTCAAATTATTATCTTTTGCTGGGAAAATACTGGTTAAAGTTGTCAGAAATTGCCTCAGATCGCACCACAGAGCACAGGCCCCGAACCCCACGCCATTAGCTGAGAATATAATAGCTTATTCAATGACTTCAACCTCGAAAATGATGTTTAAATCATTATCTTTTGCTCAGAAAATATTGGTTACAGTGGTCAGAAATTGCCTCAGATCACACCACGTGAGCATCAGGATTACACCAATAACTAGGCATGTCGGCCCTTTTTTTGAAGTTTAGGCAATACCAATGATTGATAGCTCATATGAAGCAACTCGATGAAAGAAACACAGAACAGAAAGAATTTTTAAAAAATGACTTTCCGTTCTCAAGTTATGATCAAAAACGTGTTCCCGTTTTAACGGCTTTCATAGACATTTTAGCCACAAAAATTCAAAAATCAATAATTTCAGATTTTTCAGATAAAAAAAAAGGGAATTTGAAATTTGTATGCTTCAAATCATTTCTTTTGCTAAAAAGACCTTGGCACACTTCAACAAAAGGTCTGCAATTGTTTTCAATTTCTTGTTAACGGCTGTCAAAAATGCTGATTTGTTAAAAATTCTTCAACGGAAAACTAGAAAAATCTGAAAAATTGACTAAGTCCAGCTAATTAATATGCATAATTGCTGTATCATAGGAATAAAATACACTATAATAAGGCAAAAAAAAATAAGTCTCCGGTTTCTGGTATGCGCGCGCGTCGCCGTAGCCATGCGCGTCGGCAAAATGAAAAAGTTTTTTGACTTCTTGTTTTATGTCATTTCGCATTTTCTGATGTAATTAAAGCTAATTAACATGCAGTTTTAGGCAAAATCGCCTAATTACATGTGCATAAACACTGTAACTTCAAAAGGCAAACATTTATGACCGTATAACTGGGTACGTATATTCGGTGTTTAAAGGGCTTTCATTTAGTACAGTGTTTTCAATCATCTCTATTAGCATATGCAAATTATCTTAATTTATATGCAAGTCATCCTTAATTACCTAATTACGTATGCGAAACTTTTTTTCTATGCGCAGTAAATCTATGCATTAAAATTTCATTGGAATGGCAGTTGATATTCCCCAAATATTTTTTGTACTTAAATTGAGGAAATGAAATAAAGAAAAAGCTGTTTTTACTTTTTTTCAGGTGTAAAGGTAAGTACAGGTTTTTTAAATATACTTTTAACAAGCTATACATGTAATCAATTTCAGTCACTGAATTGGGCTTGGCATTTTATCTACATGTACAGTATATTCAAATAAAACCAATATTATGGCTCCTTTTGTGGTTCCTGTCATAACTTGTGTAATTATTTCTTGTAGATTATTTTCCAGTTCATTTACAGAGAGTTTTTGCCCTT